TTCCATTTAACCAATTTTAACTCTCATCTGCTATTTCTTTCTTTTTATTAATCAACTTTTAGATTTTAGGTTCTAAAGGATTGACAACAGCATGATTTGTGGGTAATATCTGATTTGTATATTGACCTGGGTCTAGGGATTGGTCCTTTGGGATTGGGAGAACCTTTTTTCTTTTACTGGGGTATTGGTTTTCATAACCATTCATCCCCATAAGGAGTGGCTGCTGGTGGTGATATTAGGAAACTGGAGTGTCTGAGGAAATTGCTTGTATAACTTCTGGTTAGCCAGTGGGTTAGAACCGAAGTCCTCTCTGTTTGGCTGGTTTGGTGTGCTTTAATAGTAAAGGTAACCCCAGCCTTGGGCTGTAACTGTCCTGCTCTAAGCCACTTGTCCTAAATTGATACTCTTAGTAGTGTCCCACCAGAGGGAGCATTGTTACAGCTAGATATGCCATATAACATATCTTTGCAAAGGTTATAATCTACTGAATATAAGTAAGTTCAGGAGGAGGGTGGGATGTTGCACCCCATAATGCTTTATACAAATATGCTTATGAATGTAAATATGAAATAACTGGAATATGTTTTATGATACATATGCCATGTAACATATCTTTGCAAAGGTTATGTTCTACTGAATATATTCATCCTATTCATATGCATGTATCATTTTTAGATCTGAAGTTATGAACATTGGCTCTATACTTGTATTTAAAGTGTTTGCTGTAGGAAGCATATAAGGCAGATTTGGTTAACATAGGGTGAAGGGGTTATTCAAGTAATTGGGAGTACTTAACTAACAGTGGACTTTGGCAGACACTAATCCACATCTGAGCTTTGCTGGGAACATTCAAACTAATATGTAAACAGTGGTGTCGGCCTGCAAAAAGCTGAATCATTTATGAATACATGACTTCCCCAGGTGACTACAAACTCCATTTTGTTGCTGTCATTTTGCACAGAAGAACAAAGGGTTTCCACCCACAAGAGAGAGAATATAAAAGGCCCTAGAGGCCTCTCCATTTGTCTTTAGCTGGCTCAAGAGATGGCCTCTCCACTCCAAAGAGATGTCTGAAAGAAACTGGAACAAAGGACTGTAACTACGGGGTGTGAGTGATTGCTGGACCCAGGCCATAAACTACAGCGTTGGTCTGAAAAGGATTGTACCTGAGATAACATCTAGGGTGAGAAGTTAGTATTTGTAACTAGACCTTCAGTGTATTAAGTTAGCCTTGCATATTTTCTTTTATTTTGCTTGGTAACTTACTTTGTTCTGTCTGTTATTACTTGGAACCACTTAAATCCTACTTTTTATTCTTAATAAAATCACTTTTGTTTATTATTGAACCCAGAGTAAGTGATTAATACCTGGGAGAGCAAACAGCTGTGCATCTCTCTCTATCAGTGTTGTAGAGGGCGGACATTTTATGAGTTTATCCTGTATAAGCTTTATACAGAGTAAAACAGATTTATTTGGGGTTTGGATCCTATTAGGAGCTGTGTGTCTGGGTGCTGGAGACAGGAGTACTTGCTGAGTGGTTTTCAGCTAAAGCCTGCAGCTTTGGGGACGTGGTTCAGATCCTGGGTCTGTGTTGCAGTAGGCTTGTGTGTCTGGCTCAACAAGACAGGGTTCTCGAGTCCCAAGCTGACAGGAAAAACAGGCTCAGAGGTAGTTTCAGCATGTCAGGTGACAGTCCCAAGGGGGTCTCTGTGACCAAACCCATCACAGAGCCATTTCTGCATATGTATGACTTATTAAAAGACAAATTTTAAGTAGAACTGTATCATAAACTGCATTATGGTATTGTACTCAAACACTGCATTTCAAATGGGGGGATTCAACTTCCTTTATAAGTATGGACTCCTGAAACTCTTACCAGAAAATTGGTCCATAGTCATGCAAATAGTCCCATTGTCTTCAATGGGATTGATCAAATGATTAAGGGTTTACAAGATTATGTTCCAAGTTTGTAAATTGTTCTGGATGAAACTGACAATGCCTGAGCTGTCAGATCAGAAGGAGCTTCATTCAAATAAAGATGAGCAGATGTGTGATAAGTTTTAGCTCCGTTGCTAAGATGAGGAACATATTTTCAGCAAAGTTCTTGGCAGATTCCTGAGGCAGTTGGCTTAAGGCCGTCAGTGTCCAGCATTATAATCTTCACTTATAGTTCTCTCACCCACAAAGCTGGAAAATGAGGCATTTGTTTTCTTTGTTTTGCTGCTCCAGTTCCAATTAATTCCTGCCGACTCCAGTCCCCTTGCTCTCATAACTCCCTAATTATATATCCAAAGTGAAACTGTTTCAACAGGAGAGACTGAGGGAAACCCCCATCAAAATATTCTCTAGCCCAGTGGGTCAAGCACTCTCCTAAGAGGCTTGAAAGACCTTTTTTCTATCAGGCAGAGGGGGAAATGGAACCAGAGTCTCCCACATCCCAGGTGAGTGCTCTAATCACTGGGCTAAAAGTTATAAGGAATGTAGCACCATCTCCTCCTCTGGCTGTTTTGTGTGGAGTTAGACAGGCACCTAATTCATTCTTGCAAGAAATAGCTTAGATGCCGAAGCCACCTGACTCCAGGAGCGGGGTTAACAGCTATGGACAGAGAGCAGAATTTAGGCACCCAGACTTAGGTGCCTCATTCCAAGAAAGGGGCAGGGCTTAGGTCACGCCTCTGTCATTGGCATCTTCCATTGGCTAACTTAGGCAGGTCCCTAGCCTAAGCCTACCCTTCTCGCTTTTGTGGATCACATTATTAGAAGCCTATCTCTCCCCATGTGTTGTATAGGGAGCCTAACTCAGGCTTTGTGGATCCCACTGTTGTTTCCGTGAGTTCTTAGGCACCTAAAAGTTAGGTAGTGCAACACTTAAGTCCCTTTGTGGATCCATGGCCTTGTGCCTAACTTTAAGAGGTGATAAGCACCACATAATTACCACGAAAAAGCCTACCTTTGGAAGTATTTCCTATAAAAGAATAACCTGATAGGTAATTTTGCTCTGAGGTTTTAAGAAATAGGGAAGAATTACAAACTGGAAAAGCTACCTTATAATAGCATTTTGTTTCAAAACTGTATCAGTTACTCTGGTCAAAATCTGTCCTCATATCTTCCACAATCTTCATCATGGGATCCTTCCTTTCAAATTAGAAGATATGCCTTCAGAAATGATTGTTAGGATGCAGACTAAATTAGATCATACTTTATTTAGACCAATTCAATGGAGAGGGAATATGGAGTTAGCAATCAAACAAACCAAAACAAAAACTAACTAACCAACCAACACCTTCCCCATCTAAATAAAACTGCTGCAGTTATGCTGCTGTAGCACTGTGGTATACACACTATGGTGACGGAAGGGGTTTTTCTGTCATTGTAGTAAAGTCACCCCTTTGAGAGGTGCGAGGTAGGTCATTGGAAGAATTCTTCCATCCACAATGAGGGAAGGTTGTGTAGATGGTGTGAAATTTTTCACAGTTCAGAGCAATGTAGCTATGGCTACCTAATTCTGTAACCATTTACACTACATTGTTGCCCCTGCCAATGTAAGTCGCCCTCTACACTGACCTAGTAACTCCACCTCTGCAAGAGCCATAGCATAGCGCTTAGGCCGATGTACTGAGATTGATGCAGCGTCAGTGTAGACACTGTGTTGACAGTTCTGGCTGTCAGCCCCTGGCAGCTGGACCCCCACCGCCAGGGCTGACAGGCTGGAGCCTCATTAGGCTGACAGGCACAGCCCTGCCGCAGGGACTGACAGCGCTGGGCTGTTTGTGTCTCACACTGTCGGTTAAATCGGTAGTAGTGTTCCTGGTGAGGATACGTACCGCTGACAGGAGTGTAGCATCAACATGAAAAATCAATTTAATTACAGTGGTGGCTATATCTTGACTTAAGTCAACCTAATTTTTTAATGTTGACTTGTCCTAGGAGACTCACTGGTGTTATTTAGGGTGACCAGATGTCCCATTTTTAAAGGGACAGTCCCGTTTTTTC